ATAGATTAATTCCTAGCTTTTATATTTTTGTTCTTGGTATTTTCTTCAAGTTCTTGAGGAGGAAACTTCAACCTCCGAAATCATTGGTGTTTAGGTATTATTTCCTTTGTAATTTCATGTTCCATTACATTTCAATATTGTTTGTTGATTAATATGAGCATTAGAGGCTAATTTCTTAGCTAAGGCTAGGGATGAACCTCTATGCACACTAGGTGTTTGATAAAAGTTCTAAACCAATAAATTGTGATTTATCCTTTATATTTTGATTGTTTATGACTATGGTGTACAACATAGAAGTATGTTAAATTTAGTTTATGCTTGCAATTAACGTTGAAGTCTAAACTATGAACATTAAAGGATAAACATATATAGTACCGAGAATAGAAATATATCCGGTCTTATATGATACGGGTGTGATGTCTTGATATTCAACGGGGTTTTCGGTAGATGAATGTAAGCCGTAACGGGACTTACACGTAACGAAAACCACGCTCTCGCTGCCTTAACCGGAGTTGAGAATATATTAGCGACATCGTATTCATGATTATTGGGGAAGAACTATTATTAAACAAATATTAAAGCATTTAGGTGAATCCCGATTGCCTTAGTAATTCTCATTCTTGTTTAAACCAATCTCAAAAAGCAAAGTTCCTGAAAAAAATATATCATTTACATTCTTTGCATTCAATACTCGACTTTATAATATCAACGATTTCCCTGTGCATCGACCCGGTATTTACCGGTATTTTATTACTACATCGGCACTTGTATACTTGCAAGTTCAGCCCGATCAATGACCCGTCGATGATTCGCGCTAAAGGTCGTCCGAAGGCTAAACGATTGAGAAATGAAATGGATGAAGGCCCTACAGGTACTGTGAGATGCAGTAAATGCAAGCAAACAGGGCATAACAGGCCGACATGTGCTAGAAGATCGGAGGGACACGTAGGGAGTTCCACTGGGTAATGTTGTTCTTTTATTCACAAATGCATTAGCAATATTAAAAATAAATAAATTTAATTTAATAATAAAATAAAATAACTAATACACTTATTACTTTTACAGCGCCGATGCAGGTGTCAGTGGATCCCGGGCCGATTGATCCTTCAGTCCTGACATTGCAGGCCACGCACCGGAGCGAGGATGTGTGGCGTGGCCTGGATGTTCAGGTAGATAAGTGTCGTGAGCACCTACGCAGTATATTCCACACGGGGGTGGACGATAGGATTCTACATTACGTTCGATTAGCTGGGTTTTATGGTGTTCACAGGTTAGTTTCGACTCTGCATATAGATAGAGCATTACTTACCGCTCTACTTGAGCGTTGGAGGCAGGAGACTCACACGTTCCATTTACCGGTGGGTGAGGTCACGATCACAATAGGAGATGTGGCTGTATTGGCAGGTCTACCGATCGAGGGCCGGGCAGTTACTGGGACTGCATGTAGACTGTGGGTTGATTTGGTACACAGATTGTTGGGAGTACGGCCACACCCTGGGACAGATATTCGGGGGTCCGCCTTGAGGATGGCTTGGTTGAGAGAGAATTTTGTTGGTTTACCTGCTGATGCTGATGACGATCGATGTTGTGCAGCAGTACACGAGAGCCTACATTCTGATGCTTATGGGAGCTTCCACGTTTGCGGACAAGAGCGGGAATGAGGTGCAGGTCTTGTATTTACCCATTCTGGAGTCTTTTGATGTAGCTGCAGTTTATAGCTGGGGTAGTGCGACTTTAGCATACCTATATCGGCAGTTATGTCGAGGTTGCCATCGTGACGGTGGAGAGATGGGTGGGTTTTTATTGCTCATACAGCTATGGTCATGGGAGCACATTCATATTGGCAGACCTGTCATACTGTGCTATCATGGGGTAGATGGTGGTCCTCTTGATGATGATATGGATCAGCACGCTGTACTTGGGCCACATCATGTTCGTGGCGAGGATCCTTTGGGTCGTAGGTATGTTTATGATTTTTTTTGTATGATGTACGTGAATCCCTTTTATATTCTTATACATTACTGTGTGTCAGATGGCTATTTGCTCATGTCACGCGCACGTCATCCGCTGCTGGAATAGGATACTACCGAGATGCTTTAGATCGCTTGTGTGATGATCAGGTATATCATTTATATCATTAAATGTAAGTACTTTGTTTTATGTTTTTATAAACCATGGTCTAACATAATTTTATATTATAGATGACGTGGATGCCGTACACTGATGAGATTCTAGGGCTGTTGCCTCCTGTTGCCCGAGAGCACACTGAGATATGGCGAGCACGTGTGCCCTTGATATGTTTTGATGTAGTGGAGCATCACTTTCCTGATCGCGTACTACGCCAGTTCGGGTTGCAGCAGGTTACTCCCGGACCTTGTGATACATCTGTGGATTTGCACAAGATTGATAGACGGGGGAAGCACACTGAAGATTGGGGGATGCGCCATATTCAGTATATCACTATGTGGGATGAGAGAGCGGCGTATATAGTGGACGGGATCCCATCATTAGTCCCCACAGCTTCTGTAGACTACATGAGATGGTATTACACCATCACACGGGTGTTTATCTCTTCCAGTTTTCGTTTACTCACTGATCATTACCAGCCTAGCTCAGTCGCTCTTCATGTGACGGTAAACAATATAGTCAATGAAATATCTTTATCTATTTATTCATGTGTTTTTCACTAATAACCATGTTTGCATTACAGACACGGGCTTTGCGTAGCATCCATGACAGAGCGACTGCTATACTTGATGAGGCGGTAGATGTACAGGGATACCATGACGCTTGTTCAGGCATTGTTTCACTGTGCGCTGATGTATTGGGTCGAGTGGATTATGGATATATGGCCACCTCTCAGCATTCCACCGCATCTACATCCGCAGCAGGGTCTTCTCAGGCAGTCCGACGTGATAGAGTTGTTCTTCAGCCTCGTAACCAACGCAGGCGTCCCCGAGCACAGCCACATGAACTTCATGATGATGATGATCACGTTGACTTATGATCTTTGTATTTAAATTATTGTGTGAAAGTTGTAGCATGCACTGGCAGATCGAATCATTTTGTGAAACACCAGATTTATTATAACTTTTATGGTTTATACTCAATTTTGTGGTGCATTGATTCGTTTTGTGAAAGTTTCATAATATGTAGTTTCATTGATTCGTTTTGTATTTTGGATGTATGTTGTCATGTAGTTTCATTGATTCGTTTTATGTTTCGGGTGTATTTGGTCTTAGTAAATCATATGTTTGGTTGTTTTTTTGAATGGAATGGACTGTGATTTTGTGATGAGCTGTTTTTTTTGGTAATTACAGGTTTAGTTGTCTGAATGATGTTGCAGCAGGTTTGTTAACACAAGAGCCGCCACTTGGAGTGGCGGCTTTCATACAGAAGTAGAAGAGCCGCCACTCCAAGTGGCGGCTTTTGTGAAGCTGTACAAAAGCCGCCACTTGGAGTGACAGCTTTCCTTAACCGTGGTTAACCCCAGCAGTATTTCGGGAATTATTCTTAACCCGGCAGTATTTTGGGAATTATTTATTTAATTAGCATTATTCCGGGAAAAAACTCTTTAGATTTGTTCTCACGTTCTCATGTTAAAGACTCGTTCTCATTTGAACCAAAATCTATACATACATATATACATATATATACATATATATATATATATATATATATATATACACATACATACAGTTATACACACAACGCAGATATTATATATATATACACACACAGACCCCACACACACATATATACATATATGAAACCGTGAATTATTGTGTTTGTTAAAAGTTAATACCGCCAATTTTAATAATTCTTCAATTTGAGTAAGTTTTGTGAATCGAAGACAGTTAAAGCAAAAATATAAGTAAACATATTATCATCATGTACGTCGTTTCAAAATTCTCAACAATTATAATACAATTAATTACATATTACATTTAAATGTGTGTGTGTATTTAATTATTTACTCACTCTTAAAACTCATATAACATTTATGATAAATATTTTTAAATCATTACTAGCTTATAATTATTCTAGTATAATATGTATTAATTCATTAACCATGACTAAACTGTATACAATTATGTATGTCTATATGTATATGCATATGCGTTTGTTATATACTACATATAATTTAATTTAATTTAATATGTTTGTACATTATTTATATATGTGTGTATATATATATATATATATATAGAGGACTTTTCATGTCCAGCCGGCCTGACAGGAACCGCCGTCCGGCCGAGGGCATTTCGGGTACCTCCCGGTGGAATTTTTTGATGAAATTTTTTTAGCATGTTTTTCATGAAGTCTAGTTTATCCATACCAAAGTTCAGCTAAAAATTCAATCGGGAAGGCACTCAAATAATTTCTTGAAGTTAACTGGGCAGTTCATACATATAAACTGCCCAGTTAACTTCACAAAATTATTTGAATGCCTTCCCGATCGAATTTTGAGCTGAAATTTGGTATGGATAAACTAGACTTCATGAAGAACATGTTCAAAAAATTTCATCAAAAAATTCCATCGGGAAGTGCCCGAAATGCCCTCGGCCGGACGGCGGTTCCCGTCAGGCCGGCTGGACAAGAAGACTACTCTATATAAATAAATAAATGTATATATATATATATATATATATATATATATGTTTGAGTATAAATTTATAACGGGGGACAGGGCGGGGCAGGTGTAGTTATTCCCGTCTCCCGCCCCATATTTTAACGGCTTAAAAATATCTCACCCATCCTCGTCCCCACCCCGTCCCAAGCCCCGCCCATCCTCTCCCACGGGGCGGTTCCCCACGGGTCTCCGCCCCCATTGCCATCCTTAATTGGTAGGGGCACTATGACGCCGTATAGTTATCAACGTTTGAAGTGTAGTTTTTTTTTATAGAATAACCAGAATTTTATTAAAAGTAAATAAGAAGAGTACAAAAATATGAAAAAAGAAACAAGAACGCAAATGAGTGAATAATCCAAAAAGGCCCTGCAATTCCCTAAAGTAAAACGCTTAGCTCCCCGTCGAGATGTACTGAGTTACCCGAAAGATATGAAGCCCCCAAAATATCCAAAAGCTAATCCAGTAAGCAGAAATGGCCCTATGTTTCAGCCAATTTTTTAGCCTTGAGACGGGCACTGCGTCGAGGTAGCAATCCAGAACTGGCTGAGTCCCATTCAGTATCAGCAACGCGGTCAAGTAGCTCACGATCATAAAGTGACAGTTGAACAGGTGTAACTTCAAGATTGTTACCACCCGAAGCATTAAGTTCCAAAACTGCCGTCTGAGGAGAAACTAATCCACCCGCTAATAGTTTGGAGTGAGGTGAATAAGAAACTCGAAGAGAAGTAGTTTCAAGGATACTATCAATATCTTTAGATTGAGAAACACCCTCTGAAAAAATAATGATCTTATTCTGATTTGGAAAAGAAACCTGGAGAGGAATAGTATCAATAACTCCCTCCTCATCACGAAAATTATTAATAATCGCCTCGTCAAAGACTTCCACATCAGCTCCTATGATCACCCTATCCAAAGAAGTTATATGATCTATATCAACTTGAAATAAAGTACTTGAAATGGAAAAATCATATTCCCAAGAGTGAATATTATCCCCATTTAAAAGAAAATCAAACTCATGGATATGTGAATCCAACACCTCCCATGAATCATGCCCAAATGTTGGTTGCTTGGTAACGGATTCCTTTAACGAAGCAGTTGCTCTTTTAATCCCTGATAGAAAAAGAGAAATCCCTTTTCCATTCCGTCCTTCAGGAATGACTAAAGTATTTCTTCCTTTAATGTCCATCTCAACCAAAGTAATGTATCCACCAAAATGATTTCTCCCATAAAATAGTTGAATTTTACTGGAACCATGATATCTTGTGAAAGTCCACAAATTCCCAGATTGGATTTGACTAAGAGAGTCACACAGCCATGTTAACCCCTCAATACCTCAATACCCAAAAGAATACAACAACTTTGATTGTTTTTGTTTTGGCTAATGCGTAATTCGGAGTTTACCAAGTCAAAGCAAAAGGTTTTACTTTCAATTTGAACAAATGGCCTGACCTCCGTTGCCTGAAGCTCACTGATTCCCTTCGTTGCTTGAAATCGGGATTGTCCATTCCATTGCCTGAAGAATATCAAATCGCCTTTGCTCTTCACTTGTCGATCTTCTCGAGGAAGCTCCAATATCTCTGCGAGGATTCCATCTCCTCCAACCATCATCTATCCGGCGGTTCACCTCCTGACCGTAAAACGGCCGGTTACAGCCAGATCGGCCATTCCCAGTCGGAAGCTCTGTTGTCCCAGCAACGAAATCACGGACTCTCCTGTAATTCCATCGACGATCTCTCTCTCGTTCTGCCCCAGTGACGCTCCACCTTGCGGCAGTTGAGCCCGAACAAAAACTACAAAACCTACGCCTGAAAAACGGCGCCCTCGCTCATGCCCTTTCATTCCTTCTCGTCTCTCTACCTATCTTAGTGCGCACGTACGTTTGAAGTGTAGAAAAGTTGTCCCTTTTTTATGGAAATTTACCCATCACAGAGTGCCAATGATACTAAGAGCTAGCTTTGCTACCATTGAAAAGTATCCTTGCTATCTTCGACCGTCTTGGCCGCAATAGTAGAGAAATGCGTGATCAATGTTCAAGGAAAGGAATAAGGAAGGGTCAAAGATGAAGAAGAGCTATTCTTTTTAAGAGGTAACCATGCGTTCACAGTCGACTCAACAAGAGCTATCGGGTCACTCCCTGCCATAAGCCATGCCCTTACAAAACTGCTACCACTCACGGCACACTTCCTATATTCCTGGGCTTACCCGAAAGGATCTTGCTGACTCTATGAAATCGGAGAATTATGATGCTGTCTCACATAAACTCCTCCACAGTTCAGGGAACTAAATGTTTATTAGTCATAGTTTTGGAAAGTACAAAAAAAGATCACTTTTTGTCCACTTTCTCTTTTTAGTAATATTGGTGTCAAAGTTCCTGGAAAATTTTAGTTTATTTATGGGGGTTTTGTCTCTAATATTACTAAACAATAAGCCAGGGACAAAAAGAGACCTTTTATTAGGGCTGGGACTTTGGAACCAAGAACCGGAGAACCGAACCGGACCGAACCGTTATGACCCGGTTCGGTTTGGTTCCAAAATTTATTAGTTATTTGCATTGTTCTAAAACTCGCTAGGCGCTAGTCGGGCGGTAGAGGGGCGCCTAGCGCCTAGGCGGCCGACTAGGCCGATTTTTTTGGCCGACTAGGCCGATTTTTTGGCCGACTAGACCGACTAGGACTCTACGGTTAGGGCCGCCTAGGCCGATTAATCGGTCCGCCTAGGCCGATTTTTAGAACAATGGTTATTTGTTAATGGTTCGGTACCTACTTTTTATTAATGGTTCGTTTCTCGGTTCCTGTAAAAAATATGTACGTGGAACCGTTAAAGAACCGTTATATATAATAATTAAAATTATATATATTTCTTATTAGTATATGTATTTTAATGTATATTTACTTATCTATTTTCATATTGCATTCACTATTTTAGTTTAGTTATTTAACTATTTGAAATTATTTTTCATTTAACTGGTTTTATTGGGCTTCTTTACCGAATATCTTGTTTTGTTTTTGTGTTCTAAAATTTGCAGTTTGTTATGTATTTATCTTTTAAACTCAACTTTTGAGGTTTGAAATGAAATTCAACATATTTGTATTGTAATTTCAAGCGTTGAATATATTTTTGACACAAATTTAACCGTGATTTGTAAGATTTTTTTTAAATACTAGGAACCATTAAATGACAAGAACCGAACCGTTAAGAACGGTTCGATTCCTTATCGGTTCTACAAAATAATTTATAAGAACCGAACCGTTAGTAAAATTTCATATTTTCAAACGGTTCCACATATTTCACCTAGGAACCGAACCGGTCTCAGGCCTACCTTTTATCTTAATTTCCAAAAGTATGACTAATAAAAACACACTTCTCTAAATTGCCCTTTTGCTTGTTGAACACTCGTCCGCATAGCTCGATAGCGACATCGACATTGAGTAGTACTCCGTATTCTAGATTTGTAGTACGTCAAGATACACATCGTAAATTTTCCAAGAATGGCCACTGTACTCTCCAAAAATTTTGTCCACCATAATCATTAATGCTTCTTTTGATTTAAAGATTATTTAATACTTTTGTATTGAAAAATTCTTTTTAATGCTTCTTTCGATTTTAATTTTTTTCTCAAGATAGGCCTGTACACAGTCTTAAATAAAAAAAATTATTACACTACAATTTGTGTGAAAACAGTCCCAAACTCCCAATTACCATCGTTTTAGTGATCATCGTCTCAGTTTCTATCGCTCTAGTGACAACCATCTCAGTTACAATTTCGCTCCAGTGACATCGTCTCAGTTACTAACGCTCCAGTGACCGCCGTCCCAGTTAATATTATAGCTAAGTGACATCATCTCAGTTACTACCACTCCAGTGACAACCGTCTCGGTTACAATTATCGCTCCAATGACATCGTCTTAGTTACTAACGGTCCAATAACCACCATCGCAGTTAATATCATAGCTCAAGTGACATCATCTCAGTTACTACCGCTCCAGTGATCACCGTTTCAGTTAGTATTATGGCTCCATTGACATCGTCTCAGTTACTACCGTTCAGTGACCAACGTCTATCCGTCGAATGACAAACATCCGCCCGTTCAATGACCAAGTTCCTCCCGTTCAGTGACCAACTTCCGCCTGTCCAGTCACTAATGTCCGCCCGTCCAATGACCAACATCCGCCCGTCCAGTGACTGCCTCACCGACCACAGTGACTGCCCTACCGACCAAAGTGATTGTCTGCCCACGGTCACAGTGACTGACCGTCGACCGATCACAGTGACTGCCTGTGCCACAGTGACTGCCCCCAACTCCGGCCACCGCCGCTACTTTCCAGCCACCGCCATCTGTCCGCCTCACTTACCACTGATGTTGCCCGCTCCCTCCCCAGCCCCCTCCATACTTTGCTTCCCCTGGCCCAAGCCATCACAGTACCCCCAACGAACCCGAACCCTAGCTGTTCAATCTGGATCACCCACGACTAACCTTGCATCACCCCTATCCCTCCCCAGCTTGAGCCCCCCACCAACGCAGTTCAGATCCAGCCCTCTAGCCACTCAATCGTTGTCGCAAATCTCCCCTCCCAGCCCCACCTTTGACAACCCAAGTTGCCCAACCCAGCCCCGACCACCCGCAAATGAACCCCAGCCGCCGCCCTCCTCCAGATCTGACCCCTTTCTGCTCGCCATTAATAAAGATCTGACAGGTGAGGTGAAAGGAGAAGTGGCAAGGCAAGGCGATGCAGAGAGGCGGCTGTGCAACGAGGTGAGGCTAGGCGGCGTCCTGTGCGGCGAGGTAGGCTGGGGTAGCTCTCATTCCATCGGGTTGCAGACGAAAAGAAGAGTGGCGGCGACGGTGAGGAGAGGTGCAGCAGCGGTGTGAGCGACGAAATCGACGTCAGTGGCTCTCTCTCACGGCGATTGCGGCTGTGGGTCTGTATTCCCGCATCGGAGCTCTGGAGCGGAGAAGACGATCCTGATTCGTGAAGACAGAGGGCTGAAGTACTGCTGGGCGAATTGTTTTTAATCACTTTTCAGTCTAATCCCATTTTAGTCATTTTTTTGGAATGTTAAAGTGTAGGAGTCACATGTGTGCCATTCTTTCTTATTTATGAAGACACACCACATTTTAAACGGCACCAATTCGGTCCCTGGACCAGTGTTAGTTTGTTCCCAAGCAAATCGCAATTACATACTCCACTATCAGTCTCTTTTTTGCCTTCACAATGAACCCACAAGGGCCGTTTTTTATATCTCCTTTAACTTGTAACTTAGTTTTTCTTCATATTTTTTGGTAAATTCTATGGTACCCATAAGGTACCATACCTTTGTCCACATGGACCAATGAGAATGTAGCAGTTGAATTATTTAAATCTAAATTAAAAATGATAAAGTGATGTGGTCCAATCAAATGAATGATAGGTACGGTACCCCATATTTTAAAAAGGTACCAGAGTTGTCTATCATATACAAAATATAATAAAATATATTCCTTTGGTCTCGAAATATACTTCAATTGTTAGGGCTGACGTGCAGAGCCATCTAATAAATTTGAAGGTCTGGTTCCAAATGTAAAGTCGGAGAACCCGATCACACGTGCAGGTTCAATTGTCAGTCGAATTTGGCAAATTGGAGAACCCGATCACAAAACGAAGCTACAGTGACAAAAGACCTTGCCTTCCGTTCTTAGCAGTGCTCGATCACTCCCCAAATGAGTTGAATCTGTCCCTGTCGTGCCTTTCTTTAAGCTACATCAAGCAAATATCCAGGGACGGATCCAGGATTTCGAGTCAAGGGGGGCGAATTTTTTTTCATTAGTGTAGGGGGTGAAAACTTTTACGCTAGTGTAGCAGGGCGAAATATTTTCTCTAGTTTAGCGGGGCAAAATTTTTTGCTGGTCTAGGACTCTGCGGTTAATTTTTGTTCAAAATATTCTATTAAAAAATACACAATGAAATTTATATCTATTATATTACATTGTAATTTCAGACAATAGAAAAATAACTTTGATTTAATAATTGTAAGAGCTCTAGAAAATTATTTGAAAAAAAGAAAGGATATAACATTTTATCAAATTATTTGAAGGTAGGGAATTTAAAAGGTTCACATAAACCGATGCTTTTTAAATAACTTCTGATTTGTTTAACTACATGAATCTTATCATAATAAAGAATCAGTTTTTGAATTGCAATTTTTGCCTACGAATTAAAGGAGGGTATTCGTGGATCACGAGAAGTTTTCTTAATATTACAATATTATGTATGAGATTATTAATTTGAGAATCATATGATACGTAGTATTGTTAGTTAATTCATATATACACCAGGCATACTATGTTTGTATTACTGCTAAAATAAGTTAAAGTTTATATCTATGCAACAAATTGTTTTTACAATGTAAGAAGTAAATTGATTGTGTGATTTAGTGTCAACAAACATTTATATTTTGGATTTACTTTACATGATCTAAAAATTGTTTAACAATTGTGTCTGATATTTATTATCGTTGATATTTTACAAAATCAAGTACTAATTATGTAATATAGATAATTAAACAATACAAAACTAAGAATTCTGATATACTCCGTAATAGGTATACTAAGTCTTAAACAATGAGTTGTTCTATTGTATATTGGTCCCTTGTTTATTTGTTTAAATTATGTAAATTATTTTAGATTTTGCTCTTTTAAATCTCCAATTAAGTAATACATTATGTAAGCTTAGAGAACTCTTCTTGTCAGGCCGGCCTGACGGGAACCTCCGTCCGGCCGAGCCCGTTTGGGCACCTTCCCGGTGGAATGTTTTGATGAAATTTTTTGAGCATGTTTCTCATCAAGTCTAGTTTGTCCATACCAAATTTCAGCTCAAAATTCGATCGGGAAGACATTCAATCTTTTTTTGAAGTTGACTGTGTCAAAATATACATATAAAACGCAGCCAACTTCAAAAATGATTTGAATGCCTTCCCCATCGAATTTTGAGCTGAACTTTGGTATGGACAAACTAGACTTGATGAGGAACATGCTCAAAAACATTCATCAAAACATTCCACCGGGAAGGTCTCCAAAAGGGCTCGGCCGGACGGCTCTCCCGGTCAGGCCGGCCGGACATGATGATTTGTCTGTAAGCTTATATATTAATTTTGAAAACTAAAAGATAAAGGGGGCGAAAACATATATATCTAATCAAAGTATGAAAATTTTAAGAAAAGATTACATATATAGTAAAAAAAATTGAATGTCTAAGGGGGGCGGTCGCCCCCGCGCCCCCCTTAAATCCATCCCTGCAAATA